TATATATATATATATATATATATATATATATATATATATATATATATATATATATATATATATATATATATATATATATATATATATATATATTTATATATATATATACTCATGGTTTACAAAATTACATTGTACAAAAACCATTATAGAGCGGCCAACAAAAGAAAACAGAGTTTTTAGCTCGGCTACAAAATTGGCTCAGAGCATGGCATATGAACAAATCTATGTCCGGCTGCGCTTGGCTAGGTCAACTTCTAAACATGTAGATCATTACCTCAAGTTCAATATGGTGTATGAAGTGAAAGATCAGTCTCATATTGGGTGTGCTAGAATATTTGATTAAAGATGAATTCAAACTTCAAAACGAAGGATTTTCATCTAGAAAAGGTGAAGAACTTGTTCTATCTATACTTCTATGAGTTCTTATGGTTTGATATTATCATATGTGAATATGGAAGTGAAAAAATAAGAAGAGAAGTTTAAGGAATTGGTCTGGTCGTTTTTGGAAGAAGATAAGTGAAAATGAAGACCAAAACACAAAGTCTTCATTTATCTACCCATTCCCAACAAGGCCAAATGGAAGGTGATTATTGGAAGGCTTGTATTTGTTGCATTCTTGGCGTTCCTCAATGTTTTTATAGCATAACATGAGATAGGGGGATGATGTTTACTCATTATAATAAAGTGTAAACAACTTGAGGATGGTCTTGTGCAACCTAGTCAACCAACCAATCAAATTGCACCCTTTTGCATACTTTTAATTTTAGTCTTATATGAGTTACTTCAAGTAATTATGTATGGAACTAATTATATTAAAATGTAATTACAATGTATTAATGCAATTAGGACGAATATGTGACCGTTTAGCACATTTTAAGAAAAGTATTTGATCATGTATTAAAACACAATTAAAGCACATGTGTAGCAAGTACTCGTGATCATGCATCATGAATAATGAATTCTAACTATATGCATTTATGCAATATGTTTATTATTGGCCATGTATGAGATGATTGGGCATTACAATCCTTCCCTCCTTATAAAATTTCACCCTCGAAATTTGACGTACCGAACAATTCTGGATATTTGCTATGCGTTTCTTCCTCTCTCCCATGTGACTTCTTCAATTCATTGATTTCTCCGCAATACCTTAACTAGTGGAATCTTTTTATTTCCCAGTTCCTTGACTTTTTGATCAAGAATTTGAATTGGTTTCTCCTCATAAGACAAATTTACAGAAAACTCAAATGGTTCATTACTCAACACATGAGAGGGATTTGAGTTGTTCTTCTTCAACATAGACACATGAAAAACATTGTGAACACCAGATAATGAAGGAGGTAAAGCCACTCTATATGCTCTATCACCAACTCTTTCAAGGATTTCAAACGGACCAACATACCATGGACTAAGTTTTCCTTTCTTTCCAAATCTCATGATGCCTTTCAATGGAGCCACTTTCAAGAATATACGTTCTCCAACCATAAACTCTAGATCTCTTCTAACTTTATCGGCATAAATTTTCTGTCTACTCAGTGCCGTCTTCATTCTTTCCCTTATCTTCTTTACCGTCTCAGCAGTATGTTGCACCATCTCTGGCCCAAGTAGAATTATTTCCCCAACTTTATCCCAATGAACAGGAGACCTACATTTTCTCCCATATAGTGCTTCATAAGGTGTCATTCTAATTGTAGATTGATAGCTATTATTGTAAGTGAACTCTACCAATGGAAGTTTTTCATCCCAACTCCCTTTCAAATCTAGAACACAAACTCTTAACATATCCTCAAGTATTTGAATAACTCTCTCTGATTTTCCATCTGTCTGTGGATGAAATGATGTACTAAATGCAAGCTTCGTCCCCATGGCATTGTGCGAACTCTTCCAAAATGCAGCAGTAAACTTAGGATCTCTATCAGATACTATTGACACTGGCACTCCATGCAATCTAACTATCTCTTTAATATATTGTTGTGCATATTGGTCCATGTTGAATGTAGACTTCACTGGAAGAAAATGGGCTGATTTAGTTAGTCTATCAACAATCACCCATATTGAATTGTATGTCTGTTGTGTCCTAGGCATTCCAAGCACAAAATCCATTGTAATATGCTCTCATTTCCACTCTGGAATCAGTAAATGTTTCAATAGTCCTGCTAGTCTTTGATGTTCCATTTTGACTTGCTGACAAGTGAGGCATTCAGCCACAAACTTTGCTATATCTCTCTTTATGTTAGGCCACCAATAGTGAAGTTGTATGTCTTTGTACATTTTCGTGCTACCCGGGTGCACTGAGTAAGGACTTCTGTTAGCTTCTTCCAAAATGTCGCCTTTATGTTAGCACCAAAAGGGACACACAATCTACCTTTATATTGAATCATTTCTTCATTACCAATAGAGAAGTTCGGCCTATTCCTAGCATCAATCATACTTCACAACCTAGATAAATACCTACTTTCTGAGCCTCTTTGATTCGGTCATGAAGTACGTGTTTTAATAATAAAGATGATAAAGAACTAACCGTCCATTTATGTACAATTTCAAGCTCTAATCTTTGTAAATCCAGTAGTATTGGTTTCTATATAACAATGAAGGAAGACATAGATTTTCTACTCAATGCATCTGCAACTATGTTAGCTTTACTAGGATAATAGTGAATCACATAGTCATAATCATTTACAAGTTCTAACCATCTTCATTGTCTCATATTCAATTCTTTCTGAGTAAAGAAGTACTTCAAGCTCTTTTGATCCGTGTAAATATCACATTTCTCACCATATAAGAATTGGCTCCAAATTTTCAATGCCAACACAATGGCAATGATGCTCTAAATCATGAGTTGGGTAATTCTTCTCATACTCCTTCAATTGTCTTGAAGCATAGGCTATACCATTCCCATGTTGCATCAATAAAACACCCAATCCATTTTTTGAAGCATCACTATACACTACGAAACCACTAGTTCCAAAAGAAATGACAAGAACAGGAGCTGTAGTCAATCTTCGTTTCAACTCATGAAAGCTACTTTCACATGCATCAGTTCATACATACTTCATGTTCTTTCGTGTAAGCATTGTTAATGGAGTTGCTATCTTGGAAAATCCCTGAATAAATCTTCGATAATATCCTGCCAATCCTAAGAAACTTCTAACCTTTGATACAATTTTTGGTGTTGGCCAATTTTTGGCAGCTTCTATCTTACTCAGGTCAACGTAAATACCATTCTTGGACAAGGCATGCCCTAGGAATACAACTTGATCTAGCTAAAACTCGCACTTCTTAAATTTAGCATATAGTTGCCTTTCTTTCAATATTTGCAACACCACCCTCAAATGTCCTCTATGTTCGTCATTATCATGGGAATAAATCAAGATGTCATCAATGAGCACAATTACAAATTTATCGAGGAACTCCTTGAACACCCTATTCATCGAATCCATAAAAGCTGCAGGAGCATTTGTTAAGCCAAATGGCATGACTACAAATTCATAATGTTTATACCTTGTTCTAAATACAGTCTTTTGTATGCATCCTCATTTATTTTCAATTGATGATACCCTGAGCATAAATCGATCTTCAAAAATATTGATTCTCCTTGCAATTGATCAAACAAATCATCTATTCTGGGTAGTGGATATTTGTTCTTAGTTGTAAGCTTGTTTTGTTCTCTATAATCAATGCATAAATGTAATGTACCGTCTTTCTTCTTCACGAACAAAGCCGGTGCTCCCCAAGGAGAATAACTCGGACGAATAAAACCTTTAGGAAACAAGTCTTGTAGTTGAATATTCAACTCTTTTAGTTCTATTGGTGCCATTCAGTATGGAGCTTTAGAAATAGGAGTACTTCCTAGCAACGTATCAATAACAAATTCAATTTCTCAATCCGATGGCAGTTGGGGTAAATCATCTGGAAATACCTCAAGAAACTGATCAACCACATCCACATCATGGGGTTTCAATTGTGTTTCTACTGAAGTGTCCATAATTAGCCAAGTATCCAACACAACCCTTACTCATCATCTTTTGAGCCTTCAATGTAGCTATAAATGGTATTGAAGATGAAAGTGAATGACTACCGAACTCGAAATGTTCTTCCCCAGGTGGCTGAAAGATGACAACCTTCTGATTACAATTAATTGTTGCATAATATTTTGTAAGCCAATCCATGCCCAAAATGGTGTCAGAATTTGCGACTAGTAAACAAACAAGATCCGCGTAAAGTGTTCTGCCACTCATCTGAATAGAACAATGTTTCAACATTTGGTTGGAATTTATCTCTTCCCCTGATGGAGTCATCACGTTATACATGACATCTAGCATATCTGGTATAATGCCCAATCTTCTCACCTATGAATGTGATGCAAATAAATGTGTAGACCCCGAGTCTATTAATGCAAGTGCTGGAGTTTGTGAAATCAAAATAGTGCCTGGGACAACAGATGCATCTGCATCAGCTTGTTCTTTAGTCATTGTATATACCCTCGCTTGAACTTTGACAGGTGGGGTGCGACAATCCCTTGCAATATGTCCTGGTTTCTTACACTTGAAGCAACGATTTTAACAGTTATAGCATTCTCCAAAATGATTCTTCCCAAATGTGTCACATTGGTCTTTTGCAACTGTAGTAGAACTTTGTACAACTCTAGGGTGCTTCTCATTTACTTGGCCGGATTTCTGCTCTGGTCTCTTCCATTGGGATTGATTTCTTTGAATAAAAGTGTGCCTCTTCTGTTGATGATATTTTTGAATTTTCTTCTCATCAAAGTCAGCCATCAATGCGTTGACAAGTGGTAGACAACGCAGCGTTGTCTACCACTTGTCGAAACTCAATTGGAGAAGAGATCCTTACATCTTCTCTATTAACTGGGTTGAGGCCTCTCATGAAGTTATCCATCTTTTCTTTGTTATCTTTGGCTATATAAGGTACATACTTGCAACCCTCCTAAAATTTTCTCACGTAGTCACATACGGACATTTCATTCTGCTTCAATTCCAAGAACTCTTTAACATTGAGTGACCGGACATCCCTCGTGAAATACTTATCATAAAAAATTGTTTTGAATGCCTCCCATGTCAACTTCTAAATATCCACTACTAGTTTTGTACCCTCCCACCAAGTTCTAGCTACTTTCTTCAATAGGAAAATGACACAAAGTAGTTTATCGGAATCTTCAATACGCATGTAGTTAAAGAAGACATCTAGAGATTTAACCCATTCTTCCGCAACCATTGGATAAGACCCACAATAGAAGTCAACAGGTTCCATTTTACGAAACTTCTCATACACGATAAGCGAGTTATCGTGTCTAGCTTGTGGAGGAGGAGGTTGTTGGTTTTGTTCACGAGTTCGCTGTATCATATCGAACAATTTGTGTATATGTTCAACATGCGTTCTAGTCTGTTGCTGAATCAAATCAACCAAATTATCAACTAAGTTGTAGTCACTCTTGTGGTCAACATTCCCTGTCCTCCTTTTTGGTGCCATCACTTCCTATACATTGCCAAATCTCATCCTGTTCATTGGCCAATACTAATGCACAATAATGAAAATGGCATACATATGCTAATAAATCAAACACATAGGTAAATGAGAAGAGAGTTAACCAAGCTTCCCAGCCAAGGTATGTTCATACGCCTTCTTGTGTCTTTAGAAAACATTTTAAACCTCCGCTCTGATACCACAAAATGTAACAGCCCACAACGTAACAACATATTCCAATCGGATCGCAACCATTAAGTTAGGGATGCTAACCTTTTTATATATACTTAAAACATTATGGTTTTCATACAAAAATACATAATATGCTTTGAAAATAAATCAAACTTTGTACTGTCTCAAAGTTGTACACACACAATATATATATATATATATATATATATATATATATATATATATATATATATATATATATATATATATATATTCATGGTTTACAAAATTACATTGTACAAAAACCATAATAGAGCGGCTAACAAAATGAAATCAGAGTTTTTAGCTCAGCTACAAAAATGGCTCGAAGCATGGCATATGAACAAATCTCTGTGTGGCCGCTCTTGGCTAGGTCAACTTCTAAACACGTACATCATTACCTCAAGTTCAATATGGTGTATGAAGTGAAAATATTAGTCTCATATAGGGTGTGCTAGAGTTCTTGATTAGAGATGAATTCAAACTTCAAAATGTAGGATTTTCAGCTAGAAAAGGTGAAAAACTTGTTCTTGCTATACTTCTATGAGTTCTAATGGTTTGATATTCTCTTATGTGAATATGAAAGTGAAGAAATAAGAAGAGAATCTTAAGGAATTGGTCTGGTCGTTTTTGGAAGAAGACAAGTGAAGATGAAGACCAAAACACAAAGTCTTCACTTATCTACCCATTCCAACAAGGCCAAATGGAGGAAGATGATTGGAAGGCTTGTATTTGTTGCATTCTTGTGGTTCCCCTGCGTATTTGTAGCTTGACATGAGATAGAGGCTGGTGTTCGGTCATTATAATCAAGTGTAAACAACTTGAGGATGATATATATATATATATATATATATATATATATATATATATATATATATATATATATATATATATATATATATATATATATATATATATATATATGTAATCATATTTTTTTTAAGGAAAATTAACTAGGCTTTCATCTCATGAATTTATTAGTAGGGCTGTGCGTTGGTTGGTTTGGTTAAAAACCAGCCATAAAACCAACCCAACCCATCCAACCAACTTTGGTAAATATTGGAAACCGTTATCGACCCAATTTACATGGGTTGGGTAATGGTTGAAAACCAATTTAATGGGTTGGTTGGTGGTTTGGTTGATGGGTCATCCATCTAAATATTTTTTAATTTTTTTTTTAATATTTTATTACTTGTTACAACGCTATATCTTTTATAAATTAAATGGGACTAGTTCAATAATATTTAAATAAAAAATCCAAAACATTACGGGCATATATATTGCAATTAAAAATAAATACTTCAACAAATAATAATCGTCCAAATATTTAGACTATATGTCTTAAAATTAAAATAGTTCAAATTAGATACTTAGGTTAGATTTATTGCTTTTAGGATTCTGGTCAATATTAAACAATTTAATAAATGTGATATAAAATAGAAATTTGAAATTAAAAATATTAAATATTTTAATTAAAATTAATAAATAATAAACGAATGAATAAAGTTGGTTGGCCGATATTAACCGACTAACCAACTTTTTAGCATATTAGAAACCATTATCGACCCAACTATACATGGGTTGGTTGACATTATCGACCCAACTTAAATGGGTCGGTTGATGGTTGATTAACCATCACAAATTGTGGGTCGAAAATGGGTTGGTTGGTGGTTAAAACTGATCCGTGCACAGCCCTATTTCTTAGGCTCTGATTGGTTCATGGATTTTAAATAAGGCAAATGAAAATGCAAAGGAAAAGGAAATCAAGGACTTTTGAAATCCTAATTGTGTTTGGTTCCAAAGAAAAATGGTGATGAAAATAATTTTGAGGAAAATCATTTTCCATAGTTTTGTTTTGTTCTTAAGGGAAAATAATAAAGAAAAATAGCAAGTAAAATGACAATAAAAATGAATTGTTATTAAAAACTAAGGCTTTGTGTGTATAATTTTTATTTCAAAATAAATTCTAACTCAAAAAGAGATAATTTTTCTCTTTTAAAATAAATTATGACCCAAAAAAGTGTCCTGCAACGAATAAAGCAAAATGTACAATAAGATGGACATTTTATGTGTGTAACATAGAAGAGAGATATATATTTTTCTTTCCTTATTAATGCATTTTAATTATCAGAGAGAGAGAGAGATAGAGAGAGAGATGAGAGAGAAAGAGATAAAAGAGGAGAAAAATAGCTAAAGAGAGAGATAGAATGACACACTTTCTTCAATTTTTAGAGGAAAACTCATTTCCCTTGTTTTAGTGCAATCCATAAAATTATTTTACATAGCATTTTACTTATCAACCAAACAAGAAAACTATTTTACATCATCTTTTCACTATTTTACCTACTATTTTACATCTCTCTCTTTATGTGTGTTGTTTTCTTAATTATTTTCTCTTTATGTTCTGTTTACGCAGATGGAATACACTATCTACAGGAATTGTGAAGTATGTTAACTCAAAATTCATGGTTATACAAATAAGTGCACGCTTTGAAATGGGTCCACAAGGGCAACCAAGGATGGTGAAAGGACATATGGACAAATTAAAATTGTTAAACTTGTGATTATATGGTACATTTCCATTCCTGTAGCGACAAATTCTGGGTTATGTCTTAATTGTGCGTGTTGTGAGACGATTTTTTTTTTCACACAAAAAGAAGAAAAGACGGGGGTATGGCGAAAAGTAGGCAAATGAATGATAATTGTTACACTTGCATGAAATTTTGGTTAATAATAAAAAAATCTTATTTTATCTAAGAACATTGACCGCTCTAACTAATATGAAAAACCGTAATGCTTGTTATTTGAAATCCATTTTCTGTACGTAGCGATGATTAAAACTCGTCTGAACTCGACAATTGTTAATTAATTAAAATTAAACTCAAACACAATTGTATAGGTTCGATAAAATTGTGAATAATTTTGAATAGTATGTGTATATCTCAACTTGATGATTTATTTGCATTGTTATCTATATGTGTTTGTGTGTGTAATCTCAATTTGGAGGCTAATTACTCATCACTTATTGAATTTTGGGATAAATATGAGTTAGATATATAAAAATTAGTCATTTTTTGCTTTTAAAGGAGATTTATTAAATTCATGTAGTATATAAGATTTGGATGTCGTTAATAACAATGATGTGGTCATTACTCGCAAGATCAAAGTAAACATTGTTCATATTTCTTGAATTACAATCTTTTTCAAAATTGAAAATTTTAATTATTAAAATAATTAAAACTAATAGTTATGATGGGATATATTATACTATACAATAAATTTAGTAGTGATATTTAAATTTCAGAAACAACATCAATCTTCATCAAAATTTGATATTATAATAACATTTAAAGAAAACACTTTTGTAATAATGGAAATACGTCATTAATAGTGGAAAATACATTTAATTACTCTTAGTTGTGCCGATACAGTTCCAACAATAACCGCTAATCATACAAAATAAAAAGTAATGTACAGTCATTCTATCAGTTGACAACCTTACAATTATAAGACGAGTTTTAACGCAATATATTTCTAATGGAGGAACAATGATGTTTAAGTCCTAATATTGTGCTTGTAAAACTAAAATAGTCCATATTCAATTTCGTAGATCCTCATGGATGTAGGGTACAATTTTATTCGAACCACATTAATGTTTTGTCTTTTTTAATTCTTTTCATACGCACTGTTACAACACTTTATGCAAAAGTAACAGAAAATTGAATGTGACAAAAATAATTAATATTTTCAGGAAATAATTCTATAATGTCTAAGTCTCTAGGATCCTATAATCTTAGAGACTTCATTTATAATTTAAAAAGTTTTGCCACGAATTTACCTTTCAATGTAACTTGAACATGTTTGTTTTATAATTTCATATGTTAAGTATATTCACTGAGCTTATGGTTGGAAGCTTGTTCAGTTACTTCATTCTTCATGATTCGAAATTCCAATCATGTCACAAGAGTTGCTAGTGTTTCTTACCCAATGAGGTGGCAAACTTCCTCGTTCTACTCTTCCAATATGAATAATTGGCCGTATATATTAGAGGAGGGCGAGTCGTGGGGCTTGTTTTCGACGGTTA